CCTCTGTCCCATGTCCCGTGTCCCCTGTGCCCTCTTTCCCATGTCCCCTGTGTTCCCCTGGCCCTGTGCCCTCTGTCCCATGTCCCCTGTGTCCCCCTGGCCCTGTGCCCTCTGTCCCATGTCCCCTGTGTTCCCCTGGCCCTGTGCCCTCTGTCCCATGTCCCCCGTGTCCCCCTGGCCCTGTGCCCTCTGTCCCATGTCCTGTGTCCCGTGTCCCCTCCCTGAGTGGCCCTGCCACAGCACCACCCCTGCCTGAGTGTCCCCACCACTTCCAGGACACGTCCCAGGGTGACACCCTGGATCTGGGACCCCCCTGGGGCCATCACCCACCACAGGGACATCGGGGAGGGGACACCAGGTCAGGGCAGCAGGTCACAGGTATAAATATTGGCTAAATAGATTTATTTTCATACAAAGAATACACAGGTCCCCCCCCGGGACACCCCGACCCTGGGGGACACCCCAAGATGTCCCCAGCCACCGCCGGGCCGGCCACCACCTCCATGGGCTTCACTGGCAGGGATCTGTCCCCATTCCCAGGGTTTGGTGACAACAGTGGGTCTCCTCGGTGCCATCCCTGTCCCCTCCAGGGCCACCGCGGTGCCCGTATCTGCCTCAGGGCACCTTGTCACCGCCACCCCACCCTGTGGGACACCCCCAGACTCGTCCCCTGCTCTCTTGCTGGGACATCTCCGGACATTTTGGGGTCCCCCCCCTTGTGCCCTAATACTGTGGCTGGTCCAGACACCCCTCCCCCCCCGCCGTATGTACAGGCTGGATAAAAGAAGAAAATACAGATATTTATAGGGGGGGGACAAAACGCCCCCCTGACCCCCCCCAGAGTGTCCCCTGTGTCCCCACCCTGGGGTTTCACTGCCAGCCCATCCTGTCACCCGTCCCCAGGATGGAGGTGGCCGGTCCTGCCCCATCCCGGCCCGACTGGGCCCCCGTGCCTCAGTTTCCCCGTTGGAGGATGGAGGGGGAAGAGGAGCCACGGCGGCCACCCCATGGGGACAGGGACGTGGCCACGAGCCCCAGGGGACGTGGGATGAAAGCTGGAGGTCACCCAGTCCCGGCCACGGGCAGGGGACCAGCTGTGGCCACCCCATCCCCCCGTGCGGCAGGAGAGGAGGTGGCCGGGGAGCTCCCACGCTCGCGTCCCTCCCGTTCAGCTGCGCTTGGTGACCATCTGCCGGTCCCTCTTCTTCTTCTCCATCAACCTGGAGGGGAGCAGAGGGGTGGCTTTAGAATCATGGAATCACAGAATCATGGAATCACAGAATCACAGAATCAGCCGGCTTGGAAAGCACCTCTGAGATCATCAAGTCCAACCCTTGATCCAACCCCGCCGTGGTTCCCAGCCCATGGCACTGATGCCACATCCAGTCTCACCTTAAACACCTCCAGGGATGGAGAATCCACCCCCTCCCCCCGCAGCCCATTCCAATGGCTGATTACCCTCTCTGGAAAGAATTTCTTCCCAATATCCAACCTAAACTTCCCCTGGCACAGCTTAAGACCGAGCCCTCTTGTCTTACTGATGCTGCCCGGGAGAAGAGACCAACCCTCACCCCACTCCCCCCTCCTGGCAGGGAGTTGCAGAGAGTGAAGAGGTCTCCCCTGAGCCTCCTCTTCTCCAGGCTGAGCCCCCCCCAACTCCCTCAGCCTCTCCTCACAGGACCTGTGTTCCAATCCCCAGAGGGAGCACCCAAAGGCACGGGCAGGGGACACACTCACTTGCGGTTGCGGACCTCGGTGAGCTCCATGAGCCGCTCCTGGGCCGCCCGGAGCTCGTCCAGGCGCTGCTGGTAGCGGGAGTCGCAGCCGTTGGTGCGCTCGTAGCTGGAGACCTGGCTGGAGAGCTCGCTGGCGCGGTCCCGCAGCTGCTGGATGGACGAGTAGAGGTTCTCCTCGTCTTCCTCCTGCCCCAAAACAAAAGGGTGAGTGTGGGGGGACAGGCAGGGCACCTCCCCTGCCCCGAGGAGATGACCCTCCTCGTTCGGGTCGGGGAAACGGAGGCTCCGGGGCCACCTGCCTTGGCGTTGATGATCTCGATGTGGATGAGGAGGGAGGCGAGTTCCAGGTCCTCGGTGTAGCTGTTCTTCAATGGCACCGACCGGTAGCCTGGGCACAACACCACGACAGAGCTCAGTGCCACGGCACGGGTCGATCCCCTCACCATGGTCAGCACCCCGAGAGATGATGATGATGATGAGGATGATGATTGCAAGGGTTTGGACTTGACCTTTAAAGATCCCTTCCAACCCAAACCCTTCTACGATTCCATGATCTGTGATGATTATTGCAAGGGTTTGGACTAGTTGACCTTTGAAGGTCCTTTCCAACCCAAACCCTTCTATGATTCTATGACTCTGTGATGGAGAGGAGGATGATGATGATGATGATTGCAAGGGTTTGGACGAGTTGACCTGTAAAGGTCCCTTCCAAACCAACCCCTTCTATGATTCCATGATTGTGATGGAGATGATGATGATTGCAAGGGTTTGGACTAGTTGACCTTTGAAGGTCTCTTCCAACCCAAACCCTTCTATGATTCCATCATTCTGTGATGGAGATGATGATGATGATGATGATGATGATGATGATGATGATGATGATGATGATGATGATGACTGCAAGGGTTTGGACTAGTTGACCTTTGAAGGTCCCTTCCAACCCAAACCCTTCTATGATTCCATGACTCTGTGATGGAGATGATGACGACGATGATGATGATGATGATTGCAAGGGTTTGGACTAGTTGACCTTTGAAGGTCCCTTCCAAACCAACC